ATTAAATACTATAACTTACTTGCAGGTTTCCTATATAATAGCTTAAAAATTGAGAAACTAGATTTAAGTAAGTAAAAATACCAAATACCTTAATTTCTCATTCCAAGCTTGCTGTTTTAGTTTGTTCTCTCTTCAGAAATCAACTACGGACTTGCTTCTGACCTTCTGACCTAATCCACAGATTCCGATTTTGTAGCTTATACGTGTTAAAAACTATTCATAGTACTCTCATTAGGTTAAAGCAGTTTCAATCGTTTTACAAAACTTAAGCTACTGTTTCAATGAGTTGGTTGTTGATACCAAAATGCCAATAAATACGAACAACTGTTTGCAGATTACCCTGCTTCAGACGAGCTCAACATCTTAAATATGCTGAGGCCTTAAGCAAGATATGTTTGGCTCCTTTTGGCATATATCAATTTAATGCGTTTGTGACTTGCGGGCGCACAGTGCGTATGATGTATTTTTGCTTGTTTTATATGGACACGCGTCGAAAACTTTACTGATTGCGAGCACTTGATTGGCTTATTGATTTATATGTCAAATAGAGTGTGAGAACAAAATTGCATTATGGCTTTATATCTATATGTATATATATATATATATATATTGCAATTTCTGGGCGGACGCAAGGTCACGTATGGAAGTCATGGCCGCATAAATCTCAATGGGCCGAGCTATTGGCCGAAATGCCTTGGAATAATACGCTATTAAGTGATGCCAACAGATGTTAATCGCATGGAAATGCTGCAGATTAGAAATGATGACATTACATTAATCTTTTCAAAATTCCGCACAATGGCAGCTCATTTATTTGTGGCTCTTTCTCTTTTCGGACTGGTCTAAAAGTCAGCTAAGCGCAAAATATGAGTAAAATGCAAACAGATGATAAACTTGAAATCTGAACATGAAATGCACAGAGCCAACTACAAGAGGTAGAAGAGAGTGGCTAGGGGATGGTTATCCACCTCAGGCTGAGTTCTGAAGGACTCTCGTAAGCGCCTGTTATTGGCCGCCCAGTAAACTTTTTGGGCTTGCAAAGCGGCAAATCATGCTTAATGTGGCATTTTCTGCTTTTTATTATTATTATGCTTTATTTATTTATTTTCATTTTTTTCTCCTGTTGGTTTTTGAGTTGGAAGCGCGAACAAGCGCAAGATTTAAAAGAAATGCCAAACAACAAGACCATAAAAAAGGCCAGCGAATAAAATAAAATGAGATGAGAAAGCGCAAGCAAAAGGCAAATAAAAGCCACAGAGGCGAGAAAGGACTTCACTAAGCTGGACGCAGAAGGGAAAGATGATATAAATTTTATTGTCATGTCCAAGTAGATTAAACTAGCTGCATGTAGCATGCCCCGAACCGTAGTATGGACGTCTCGTGTTGAGCTCTCCGCCCAGAAAAGTATGCTACATAAAAGGCACAAGAGATTTATTAAGAACTTGCCATGTGAGTCCTTTTTTGAATGTGTGTGTGTGTGTGCTTGTTCGCTACAAAAGTATACTTTCAACTTTGCTTGGAATTATCATGAATGTTTTGTATATACCATCTACATATAGTCAACCGTCTTCTCAAAAAGTTTCATTAATTTTGACGTTAAATGTTGAAATTTTTTGAATTGTTTTTTTTTTTTTTGGTTCTTTTACTTGTCTTCCTCTTTCTTTTTTGTAAATTTATCAGGCAATTCATTTTGACATGACAGCCAAATAAATAATGATTTATTTTGCGCCAGCTAAAGGTAACTCCCACTCAGGCTCATTAAATGTTTTGGATTTCTTGCGGTTCGATTGGCCTTAAACTGTCAAAATTTATAAATTGGTTGCCGTTTTAAGATTTATAATCTTGGCAGCAGATAACAGAGACTGAAGAATGGCCACTTGGCATTGACACTGACCCGTTGGATGCTCCTTTTCCTCACTTGAACTATTCAACTTTTTGACTATGACTACACAAACCAAAAATTTCATTTTTTGTTAAATACGTTTTAAATACGTTGAACAACTTTCGCACTAAAATGTTTAGTCTATTTGGATTACAATTAATAAATAATAATAAATAATATATAATAATAATAACTAATAATAAAATAAGTAAGTCCATATTATTTCAGTTTCGTTAGTTTAATTTATTCTGAAATTTAATATAAAAATATTAACAGTGTGCATTTTGTGTTAGATGATTTTTGAACGCCTCCCGTAATGTAATTGTCCTTACACATATTTAATTTTCCTGCTGAGTTGGCATGTACAGCGCCCAGGGCTCAATTAGGTGTATTTTAAATGCACATTAAAAAGAAAAACAGAAACAGAAAAGCAAGAAGGGAATACGAAAGGAAGCAAATCCAATTTGAACCCTTCGCTTGTCTCGCAACCTCTGACAGTCATTGAACAATTTATCATAATTTCACATAAATTCTTGCAATTCAGCACGAGACAACACTTCAAGGTAGGAGCTATCGAATATACAAAACTCTTAGACAGTTGCTGTTGGCATTTAAGCGTCCGCCATCGAAGACAAATTACAGACAAATGTAAATTTCTGCCATACTTCAACGATTTTCATGTATATATACATAGTATTTTCCACATTTTTCATGCTCAGCTCAAATCGTACGTCGACATTTTCTTTATCTTTTGGCAATTACCACATTTTTTTGTTGTTATCTTTTCCATTTGACCTGCCGTAAAGTCATTTAATTTGACGTTTTTATTCTGAGCAGCGACTAGACATTGCCGCATATTCTAAAAGTATGAGGTGCAGTTTATTTTTGCGTTTAAGTTGATAATTGGTTGGCATTCAGTGCGCAATCAATGATTTATATGTGACCTGACTAATGGACACATTTCCAGGAATCACAACAAACCATTGAACTATGCAAATGTTAAGCAATGTAGACGTGCTTTGCGGTCTTTAATAAGTATCATCTGGATTAATACTTAGTGCCTGTACTTAAGCTGAGGCGGTAATTTCTCTTGTGTAAACACAAGCAAGTGAACGGTAATTAACTCAAATTAATATGGTTAACACATACAATACTTAATTACAAATTTGAATTGGAATATAATGCAAACATTAATTAATACATGAATAGCATGTTTAGTTAACAGACACTGTTTAAAGGAGTTATTCACAAGTTGGTTAGTATAAGATGAGTGTACAGCTTATTTGAGCTCAGACCACTTTCATTGTTAAGCAAAGCACAAAGCACTTTCCACAGACCTTTTTTCTCTTACAGTACGTTTAAAAATGTCCAATAAACTACATTATCTACATTGGGCTGTTCAAATGTTGGCAGCAAAGTTTAGTAAATATATGCGTGGATAAGGCGGAAGACTGTTAATTTATTTTGTAGTCAGTTGCAAGTGCTGTCAGACATCAAAGTCAAGGCGCCAGTTAGTTGTATAAAGCTGACTGCCAGTTTGATTGACGGACGGACTGTCTGACGCACTGTGGCTGATGTCCGTCAGCAAGCGAATACAGTTTCTTTGCCACAGAGATGTGTATTAAATTTTACTCTTAACGAGTTGTTAGACAATTAGACAATGGAATCCCCCTCAACTTCCCATTTAGTTATTTGCAGTTGATTTTCGGAGGGACTGGCAGGTGTTATCTTCCTTTACGGCAAACTTCTTGTTGTGTTTATTTTATTGCCTTCCCTTTTGCGCTTTAATCAAAATGTAATTAACTGGCATTGCGCACATCGGCCAATGCAATCGCTCTCAGCCAGTTGCAGCGGATGATTGACTGACATTGAGACAAAGCAAAGCCCCGGCCATTTAGATAATGGTGGTCTAGATATATTTTTATTTTTTGGTTCCTATATATATTATAATTGCTGTCTGTTTCGCAAATTGCATTCGCTTATGACGGCTTGCCGGCAGTTGACACGGCCCAAGATGGATAAAAACGTTTGAATCCTCATCATCAGTTGTGAGACACATTAATTTTTAATGCAGATTGTTTAAGTATATTTTATATTAAAATAAGAATAACAATTATTGTTTGATAGGTTGCCGATAATTGTACTGTAAGTAAGTCTATATATTATATATATATATGATTCAATGTATAATTCTATTTACATATTTTTTCGTAATATATAATAATATATGTCTTTTTAAATGATAAGCTTGGGAAATGCAATAGCATTAAGAAAAAAAAATAATAACATTTACATAGCATATTATTTCTATAATTTGTTGAAATATTTATCTTACCATCTTTTTCAAACGCATTTTATACATACTTAAGATTAAATATTAGAATAAGAAAATTTCAGACTTCAAGACCTAATGCGTCCACAATGTTATTTATATTTGCGTTGCAAATATGTTACCTAAATTTTGTAAGAAAATCCACTCTCCAATACACTGTTGTGAAAAGTAGGCAGACGCGAAAATTTTTGAAATGTCCACATAGACAAAGAGGGAGACAATCGTCTATATGTTTTTGCATAAATTTGGCCACTTTGTGTTGGTTTCTTTTTTCATGCCCAACAGCTTTGCAAATTCTTTGGCGTTTGAAAAATGTCGAAACATTTGTCCATTGGTCCATTAAGGGTCGGGGCCAGCAGACCAAACACCCTTGCTGAAAGTCTGCGTTCACAAAACGAAAAAGAAAAAGAAAATCTAGAAAAGGAAGATGGAAAGCTGAAAAGTTTGGGCAAAGCTGACCCTTTTCTGACTTGTACGCCGGTGGCCTTTGGGATTAGAAGAAGGCAGTCTGTTCCGTAGCAAAGCTGAAGAAAAATTGAAACAAGTTACCCCAAACCATTTTAGTTGCTTACCGCTTGCCAATTTATTCAAATGCCTTGCAAAGTGCTAAATAAACAAGACTGAAAAATGCCATGGCAGCGCATGGTAGAGGGGGGCGAGAGGAATTCCTATAGCCGAGCATGTGCGTCATTTTTCTCGGTTTTATCCGCAGTAGCGGAAAAAAATACATACATATATGTATGGCATACTTAGCTGGGACTTCTTGGGCCCGCCACTCGCACTCACCTTGTATGGGCACATAAATATTTAGATAGAGACAATCCTCTGATTGATTTTGCAGATAGGGCAGCAATCGCTTCAGATACTCGAGGCGACCCTTGGGCATGCGCTCCAGCGCCGCTGTCTCATTGTAAATGTCCGGCAGTCGCTGCGGACAGACCGGACTAAATCTGCAAAAAAAAAAAAACAAAAAATGAAGAAAATTTGAGCCAAATTTGTTGGTTAAACGCAAAAGTTTTTCATCTGAGAGTTCATTTATACCCTGTACTCAATACAATAAAGTGTATCTTAATGTTGTATAAATGTGAATAGAAGGTTAAAGAATACTTAAAATTATTTTTTCCGATAAGTTGTGCCAATTTAGATCGATCTTAAGCCCCTTTCTACAGCATATCTTGAAGATAATAAAAGCTATAGACAACAAATTAATTTGTAGAGATATTGCCTGCATGCTTACCAAATGAATACATTTTGAATGTCATATTTATCGTATACTAAGGAGAATTTACTTAAAAGCCAATTTTAAATAATGTTTCTTTTGTCTAAGCGATAATAAGAGACATATTTAATGCCCAGCTCTTATCGAAACTGAGAACTGGGTATAGGGTATTTCATAGTCTTAACAAGAGCACACTTATTGTGTATTTTTGCTTCTTTGGGTTTGTCTAAAGAGGTTCTAAAAGTTGCGGCTTATTTTTATAGTAGGCCTTTGTCACTCGTTATAAACAGATTAATTTGCCGGCATTGTGCAATCTCTGCCATCGAGTTACAATTTTGCCTTAGGGCTAAAATAACTTTTTGATTTTGGAAGCCTAGAAAGTTTAGCGCTCAAATTTATTTTGCGATATTTTAGCCAAAGCCAATACTCCAGTCAGCTAAATTGGTTTTCGATTTTGCCTTACACACACTCTGCCTTGTCCCCTCCATCTACATTTATTGCATTTTTCTGCCATTCCGTGCTGCGTTTGGTCATGGAATGCAAATGCCAAAATCAACGATTATGTTTTGCTTTTGCGATTGCCATTTGCCATTTGCCATATTGGCCTTGTGCTCATTTATGACTGACACTGTCTGTCCTCTCACCCCCACCACTCTTGTCCAGGCTGTTCGCCTTGAAATCGCTTCCATTTGGTAGTATTATTTGTTTTTAATCTACCGTGTGTCAGACATCGCATAAGTAGCCCCAGGCCCCAAACCAAAAAGAAACTAGCCAATCGAGCTGTATGTTTGCGTTCAATGTGCAAAACGAATTGCACATTTGAAATTACTGAATGCTAAAATTGTGTATATTTTGGTCATATCTAGTGGCTTTATTTGCCCAGTGTAAAGCAATTGGCTTCAGACCAACTGTCCAAATATTTTTTTACAAATATTTTGGAAAATTGAAACACATGCAATTTAATCTTATTTATATATATCGAGAAACTGAGCGGAATTGTATGGATAAAAATCTGTTTTTGAATTAAAGAGTAATTCCTCTTATTACTTGAAATAAAAGCAAATTGACAGTTTTAATTACTTTAGCCTACTTGCTGACCCCTTATTGGCAATTAATATTTTAGTAAACTGTATTTGGTTTTATGTTCACAACCCATTAAATCAACAACTCATCAAGTGGCGCATCTTTTGGGCCACATCAAATTGTCATAAAGAAAAAATCAATATAAACATTAAAATTTGTTTGCTCATTCCAACATATGGGTTTGTACTGTGTATCTATGGGAGTTGAGTGAACCCAAACCCATCGAAAGATATTAACTTTAATGACATTGCGAAATGGGAATTTATTTTATTTAATTTTGCACAATGTTTCTTTTTTCCTGTTTTGCTGCTGCTCCAAAGCGATGTTCTCTTGTACAACTGGAGTATATTTAATTTTTTATTATATTTGAAACGCCTCTGACAAGGTCGAAACAGTGACCCTGCGTAACCGCTTCTGACCCGGTCATTTTAATGGACGCTTGTGGTGGCAGAGTAGCGATTGCCATAATAATCATTAATTTTATGGTAAAACAATAAGGCAGGTAATAAAAGTTTAATTTTCGGCTTCATTTTGCGTTGTTCACTTAATGGCCAGCAAAAGATTGCGAGCAAAAAAAAAAAAACCGCTGGCAGACAAAAAAAAATTAAAAATAATGAAAGTGAAAAGTTTGAATGACGCCACGTTGAGAGTGCAGTTGTTGTTAGTCTTCTTCTTTCCTTTTTCGCTGACAAACACATTGCTGAAGTTCAACATCAGGTGACACGTCCCCTTTCACCCAAAACCCCGTTGCACACCCCTCACTAGTACCCTGAACAGAGGACAACTCTCAGCCCCAGCTACAACTCGTAAAAGCCACATTTTGAATTTTTAATGCGTTTTCTCCCATTTAAACCCAACAACCTGGCCCACAGCAGCGCTGAAATGTGCTCAGTTTTCAAGTGGCAGCGATCTTGTTTATGGGACTTTTGTGTGCTCGCCCTCGCCACGACTTCGGGCTTCCCAGGCGAGAGAGCGCTTGGAGCTGTGCTGATAAGCTGGCAATGGGCAAGAGTGATGGGAATTAAGCTAATAAAGTGGGCGGGGTCATGCTCCTCCATGCCAGCCATGAAGCAAGAAAATGGGCGTGGATAGCGCTCCCAGATTTGTACTACAATCGATAAATGCCTGGGACGCGAGTTGCCAACAACTGTGCAGCTTTAAGCACAGTTATGAGTGCATATAATTTATTTTAAAATTAATTACAGCACTTTATTGATTCAAGTATATTAATTATGGAATTGAAGTGTAAACAAACTATTTTCCTATTTTACAACGTGATATGGTCAACGATTTGCTGCTTAAAGCTTAAGCTCCTAGTTCGAAAATGAAGCAGTTTAGCTTTCGCGAAGTTTACTTGGGCAACAACAATAATAAACAAAATGCCAGGTGGACCTACCGAAAGCTATTGACATTAATGATGCTTTGACAAACCACGCGTGTTGCTGCCAAAAGCAGCATCAACCAAGTGCCGCACCTTTCTCCGCCCCCCTCTGCACTTAAGCGTCCTTTACCTTAACCTGAATAGTTGTTGTTGGTGTTTAAAAATAAATTTTCCAACCACTTTGCACTTAGGACGTCATGAAGTTTTTGCTTTCAGCGCAAGGATTATGAAATACAAGCGGATTAACAGCGACAGGCTGCATCCTGCCGCCTGGTTGCTGCCTGCTGGCTACCTTAAGACCAAGAAAAAATGTAAAAAAATATTAGCAAAAAGTGCGAGAGTTTTATGCATGATGCTTGGGCGTTTTAATAATAAATAAAAATATGAAGAATAAGCTGATTGCGGCAAACTCAGGCTAACGATTTTCCTAACACAAACCGCATTAATGGATGCTGTACTTGAAGCATGTGAGTAGCCTTAGTGAAATGCGTGCGGTAACACACAAAATATATTTACCAAGAAGGAACGCTTAATTTCGTCACTACGAAGATCCAATGCCCTTACAGGCCGAGGACCACATTTGCATATTTAGAAAACCCGCCGAGTTTGCAATGAATAGCAACTACTTTCACGGCGGTTAATGCTGATCAGGATATATATGTTATAGAGTCAGAGATGCAGACTTCAATATGCTACACAATTCATGACAATATTATAATATTCCATGCAAAGGTCTTCAATGGAAAAAGAAATATAGAAAATAAATTTGTGCCCATCATTAAAAACGTTAATTCCAATTTGAAACTCAAGTGCGTTGCGAGTCACCGCAAAGTGTGTGGGCGGCATGGGTAAGCGGCAGTGGCACCACACGGCTGTTGGTGCTGCTGCATAAATTGCTGTTGCCCACGGTGGTTCAGTTGGCTTTTGGTTTGTTGTTGTTGTTTTTGCGCTGTAAATGAAATTGCGAAAATTCATTTTAAATTGGATTTTATTTAATTTGACTGCGGCGGCACAGCTTTATGCGTGTTGAGCAGCAAGGACACAAGGATGAGCGAAGCGAAGTGGGCTGCGGGAAGAGGATTGTGGCTGGGCTGCCAATCTAATTTGTGAACAGGTAACTGGCAGCCAACCATAGACAACAACAACGACGACTAGACTTCTGGCCCGATGCCCACAGGTAAAATTAATCTATTTTGCTTGACGTGGCCGCAATGTCGCATATCATTTTCGGTATATGCCCCCAGGTCCCACTACCATCTCCGCTTTCTATATAAATATCTTAACTTGTCTGCTACATTCCCGTTCCGTGGCGCATGCATTTTTCCGCTTGGCTGAGATTATGCTTCTGTTTGATGTATTTGAGCACAGCAAAGGAAACTGCTCCGAGTGCTTTTCTGAGTCCTCCTCGCCTGTCGCTGACGTATGTCCGGCTTCTGTTCTGTTTACCGATTGCAAACGTTGGAACGTTCATACGCCCACCATCTGCAGTGCGTGCCACCCTCTCCGGCCGCTTCTGATCTTTTGCCACCTGTCCACACGCCACATGCAGATTATGCGGGACCATACCCATCATGCTCGGTTGTGTACTGCGTCCTGCGTCCTGCGTCCTGCTGTGTGGCCTGTTTGTTTCTGGCCACGTGATTTATATGCGTGGCATGTTTTTGTTTTGGTGACCCCGCATTGAGAACCAAGAAATTGTTTGTTTTCTTTCCAGATTCAAATTTACGCGCTTGGTTGTTAAGCGATAAGATGTGATTCCAGTAGCCGGTCCCAAAAATGGAAATTATGAGCAGGCTTAGAATTTGTATGCCCGCCAACAATATGAACAATACGATTCGAAACGGTCAATATTGTGTATAATATTTACATGAGTTGTTTGTTCTGATGATGATAACATGCAAAGCGCTCAATAATGAAAAATGAAATGCAGAAAAAATACGAAAATTCGAAAAGTTTTGTTTTAAGATTGACAAATAGTTTATGGGATCGAAGATGCTATCCATAATACGCCACAAATTTTCTGACCAAATTGTTACACCCTCTTTAAGGGTATAAAACCTTAGCGACTACAGACTGACTTGTAGAAGCTTTCTAAATATGCTCTATAACTTGATCTCATGATATTTGCATTTATTCGTAATCAACTTTTGTATTGGCTTCATAAAAATGGAATAAAAATTGAGTATTTATTTTGGAAAAAATGTTTCGCTATTAATTTCAGCTATAACCTCGTACTTGACCCAATGCTAATAAGCTTTAAAGTACCGTCTACGGAAATTAAAGAGATTTGGGCCACAATATGCCCCAGACGTATCCATTTTCGGATTTGATTGTAAGGCTCGCTAATGAGCTTTTGTACCTTGAGTCTGAGTGTCTGTTCATTTGTCTGTCTGTCCGTCTGTCTGTCTGTTCGTTAGTCCGCTGATGGTCGAAACAGCTTTATTACGCTGACGAGCTGAAAAATCTGTGGAGCATTACTCAAGGAGTTTATTGGCCTGCCAGTCTGTCAACAGGCCCAGAGCAATGCGGCTTGACAAATAAAGACGCAGTCCCACAGTAAAAGATGACGACATGAAACTGACAGACGGACATAGAGAGAGAAAGAGGGAGACAGAGATAGAGACAGAGAGAGATAGATGGAGAGACACACAGACTTCAGCAGAGATTGCCGAAAAATTGTGATGATGTCAGCCTAAAATTTCGTGGTTCAGGAATAGAAGCAGGTGCCACACAGGAGACCGCATACAGCTCGTTTGGGGCAGTGTCATTCATCAGATTTTCTTTAATAAAACTTGAAACATTATATTTATTTGAAGGGCGCTGATTCTTGGCCTCTTTTTTTTATTGGATTTTATCATTAGCCAGCGACAAAATATAAAGAGAAATAGAGCTATTGAATTCCAAATACCCTATGAAGCATATATTGTTATATTAAAAGATATGGAAATTCAAACTGAATTAGCTGTACATTTTAAATGTATATAACAGGTAGCGAAAAAAAAGAAGTAAATAAAATAAAATAATTGTAAGAAGACCTTCACATTTGCTTCAATTTTCCAGAGGAATTAATAATGAAAATGGGACAAAGTTGAGTGGCTTCATTTACAAAAATCTTCTAATCAATTTTAAGGTATTTGTTTATGTACTTTGTAAGGTCGAAAATGTTTCCTTACAGCTTAGAAAACCCCTTGTTAGGGTATAAAAAAAAAGCCAACCGAAAAAGAAGAAACTTTTGAAGGCACCCTTTTACAAAGCAAACAATGCGGCTGCAGGACAACGGTGTTCTGGGAATCTTTTTGAATAATGATTTGCCACTTGGGAGCGTTTGTAAATTAGATGTTCGGCTTGTTGTTGTTGTTCGAGTGTCGCAGCTGCTAGCTGGCGGCAGTGTAAATATTTAATTTGTGTAACATTTCAAGCGGAAGCCCCAGCGAGTCTGCTGACCTTTGACTTTCCTTCCCTTTTTTTTTTTTGCCATCGCGCATTATTATTATTAGTACAATTGGGTGTGTGTGAGAGAGAGACAGTCTGAGGCTTATTTTTATTAGAATTCTCGGTTTTAGTCCTTTACTTCAGTTCTGCCTTCGCCTGCGCACTCGACAATAATGAGCCAAGTTAATTGAGGTGACAATTGCCGGGCAACGGCTGCGCTCGACCCTCTCGAGTGGCTGCCGGCCCTTGAGTTATGGCATTTTGATCATTTTATGTACTTTCGGCTACAAGCTACAGTGCTGCTCAAATTCGTCTGCACCCTCTTCTTAGCTGTCGGACAGCGCTGCTCAAGTAACTAAGAAATGATTTAATGCATTTAAATTGACAGCGCAATTTGCATTGGAGTTGAATTCTGATTCAGCTGGCGCTCGCAGGCAACATTAAACAAGACTCATTAAACACTAATTGTAAATAGCAGGAGGCAGATAAGCGATTCGTATTTATATTTAAGTGATACTTAGGACTTAAAATGGGAATAGAATTGGCGTAACTATTTTAAAAATATATACATTTGAGATTATTTCGGACTCATAGCGGACTTAAGTAGAGAAGTTGATTCTAGCCCAGTACCCATTTTAGAATTGGTGAATATGGAATATGTATTTATTTCGTCTTGGAAACTTGTTTTAAATGAGCTCTTTTCCTCTTTTATTTTGCCGGGCTTAAGTGAGCTTTCAATAGCAGTCTTTAAAGTGAAAGCTATTAGACTGAGGATGCCCTAAGGACATGTTACACTTCATACTTAATTATACCCATCCCATATTTTTGCTCAAAGCCCATGTTTCAGTTAGCTAGGTCCAGTTACGCGTCATTTTAGTCGGCTCACCGGTCGTATGAGTAACAAGAAAGCGTGTCAGGTCGTAAACTGTACACACAGTACATACAAACTTCCGGCCTTTTGAAATTTATGCGAACGACTCTCTAAAGGCGGCTGCCTTGGACAGACTACACCTAAGTCTACGTACTAGCAGAGATGCCAATTTTTGAACACAACGGTTCTACAGCTAAAAAAATAAAAAAGCGAAGATGCTTTCGATGTTTGAGATAGTTTCGTACAATATTTTCAGCGTATTCGCAACATTTGCATTCCTCTCATTTTTTTATTTTTTTTTATCAGTAACCGCTTTCAATAACATCAAAGCTAAATAGTATTTATTATATAAAAAGTTATAAAATGATAATGGTAGATAAAAAGGCTGAACGGACAACACTGCGGCCAAATAGCGGCCTTAAGAATAAAGAAACTGGAGCGGTTGGGGCTGTGACTTACCTGTCCGCCTTTTTAACGCCCGACCACATGGCGGCGGAGACGGGCGGCATGAAACGCAAATTGCCGACCGGTGGCGAGGCGTAAGGTATGCCACGATACGCCTCAACTGGATCCAAATGCCGCCCATCTAATTGGACAATTACGCCCGAGATGGCGCCGTTGCGTGTGTGGATGATGCGCGATGAGAGCTGTGCTGGTAATTGATCATGATTTATGTTGTTGTTGTTGCTGTTGCTGCTGCTGCTGCTAGAAGTTAGTCGACTGCTGCGGTTGCTGCTCGACGTGGCTGATGATGAACTGCTGCTGCTACTGCTGCTGCTGCTGCTGCTTGTTGAAGTGGCATAGGATGTTGAGGATGATGCAACAGCTGACGATGATGAAGTGAGCGACAATGAGGGTACCGCGCTAGATGTGGCTGGATGCACAGAGCTGCTGCCACTGCTGCCACTGCTACTGCTGCTGATACTGCTACTGCCTGTGGCGGTGCTGGAGCCGATCAATACCAGTCCGCCACTGTTACTTGTTGCCACGCGCTGTGTGGCACTCAGATTGCCCGACACACTACTGTAGCTGATGCCAGCGCCACAGATGCTCGTACAACATAGCAACAACAGCAGTATCAGGGATTGAACGCTGAATTCACATTGTTTTCTCTTTGCTCTCGAGACTGTTGCAGTTGTTGTAGTCGTTGCTGCTGGTGGCAGTGGTTGCTCCAATTGCAGCAACATTACCATTATTAATATTGGTCAAAATGTGTGTTGCTGTTGTCGTATAATTGACCGCGACAACACTGTTTGTGGCGTGGCCTAATTTTTAATATTATTTTTTTATGGAGTTTTTCCTTTCCTTTTTTTCAATGGCAACGGAAGCTTACTGAAAAGACCAGAGATGCACATAATCACTTTGTTAACTAGCCGCTGACCATATTTTTTGGTTACATGTATATTTCTGCATATTTTATAGTTTTTTTTTTATAAATAGCAAACGTTGAAACTTTTACATTTTCGATATGTGTGACCGACGCAGTAGCATATTTATTTTATGGCTTTACTTCCTTTAAATATATATTCTCTCATATTAAATTTATAATTGATTTTGAAAACATTTCTTTTAAAATATCTACATTTTGTTGGACTAAGGTTTTTGATTAATTTGATTAACAGTAACTCACCCATTGTTATTTAAAATATCGTTATAAGATTTAAGCCTCACCCATTAAATTCCTGCACCAACCCAAATATTTGCTCTACATAATATTTAATATTCTGTTTATAATTTAAGCTGTGCAAATTCTAAGGAGCATTTTCGCTCTCGTCTGCACTTCATCGTCATCCGCAAAGTGTGCGCCTGGAGCATGCAGAGTGTGACCCTTTCTCCTCCAACTGCGTCACCAAAAAGTATGCAATGCCTTTTGGAAGTCCTCTCAAAAGTAGTTCTTTGCACAAGCTCCAATCAGCCCACTTGCTGGCGGCGTTGTCTTCACCTTTTCTCATTCTTGCTCTTTGTACTCTTCATTTCACATTCTCTTTTCATTTCTTGTTTTATTTTTGTGTGGACTGCAGAGCCTTGTTTGCACTTGATGTAGTGCCCTTGCCCTTGTTGTTGCCGTTCTCAAGAAAAACAACGGCAACAACAGCCACAATAACGTAGAGATGGCATTTTGCATATGCCAGACTTGTCAGGGCGTCGCTCAGCACCAAATGAATGCAGCGTACTATTCTTATTGGAATGTAGATAGAAGGTGAGCCTTAAGCGTTGAAAACAGAATTCTGCTTTTGTCGAATGCATTATTTATTGTATTGAAATTTGATGACTTCCAATAAAAACCAACGGTCGATAACCGAGTTCTTATTAATCTTTAAGAATCTCAGGGATATCATGCGAAAAATCCTTTAATCAACCTAATTCTAAAATCCTTCTTTACTCTGAGCTTGGCAATGGTGCTTTCAATTTATTACTGCCCTTAAAGATTTCCCTTCTGCACATTTTCGAAATAAGTTATTTTTTTTTACACTTTTGTCGTTACATTTCCCATACCACATTTCTAGTTACATTGTTTTTTTTAAGCTGATGCCTTTGATGTCCCTTACAGGACGACGTGTCTTGGCCTGTCTGTTAGTTTTGAGTTGAACATTTTGGTATATTTTTAGGAACTCACTTAGTTATTCCGTACGTTGCTCTGTCTTTGCTGTTGCTGCTGCTGCTGCTGCTGTCTGCGCCTTGCTGCAGGTGCTAAGCTTGGTGCTTCGTGCTGCATGTGGGTTAGTGTCCTTGCCACGCCTGATGCTTTTGCTGCTGCCTGAAGTTCTTAGCATACACTTCACGTACGCTGCGCTCAACTGCGCTGTCTGTTGCGTTGTCTGAATGCCTGCACGCTACAATTGTCATGCAAGCGGACATTTTTTCAAGGCTCTCACGTGCTCATCGTTGCCGCCTTCGGCTTCTCAAGCAGCTGCCGCCGCATAGCTGTAAGAAAACAGAAAAAAAAATGCTATAGAGGGGTCGTTTAGTCGTTGGTTTATAAGATACTTGGACTATGATTAATTAAGTGGCGCACACAAAAGCACGCGTCTTTTAAATGCATATTAAGTAGCCGGCTGTGCGCAAACAATTCACCTCACTTGTGGATTTCTTAATGAGTTCTTTGAATTTACTCCATCTTTCAATCGTTACTTTTATAGGTATTTTATCCACATAACAGCTTTAGTAAAATTTATTTATGAGCTCTAGTAAAGTATATATTAATTGGATAAAATCATAAAGTAAAAAACCTAATTAATAAGTAATAAAAGGTCAGCAATAAAAATAATTATTTTACAGTTAATATCGTCTCTATGTAGTGCTTCCACCTAAATTTTAATTTTAATCAATGTGTGAAGAGCTTGAGAAAAGTTGAACATATGTGCACTTTAAAAAGTATTGTAATTTAATTCACAAATGACAAAATTTAAAAATTGCACCACACTTCATGACTTTGTCAGGTTCTTTGTTCGAAAGGCTTACAAGTACTGACAAGCCACTTAGCAATCTTGGTAAGACGAAGAGCAAACTTTTCAATTATACAGCGCACTCAAGTATAAGCAAATTATTATGCACATCATTAGCACGGTATTTAGCTGGGCGCCCCAGTGCAGAGTTTTCACTACTTGAATTAATTGTTTTTCTGTGTGGAAATTGAGCTGTTTTCTTACTTAACGAACGCCCACCAGTTAATTTTTAGCTTGGGCTCAATGCGCAAGTTGCTTTTTAATTTATTTATGCAAATACGGATGAATTTTCATTGCTGCGAGGCAAACAGCTTGGCATTTAAATGCGTAGTCGCATAAGTAAATAACTGCCGGGCTACTTCAGACTGCCATCAAATACTTTCCCTTGGCAACGGCAACAACAACAATAATGAAAGGAATAATAACAACAACAAATATCATCAAGTACGTGGCTCAGTTGGGGGTAGATTACATCAGATTTTGTCTGCCTGTCTGTCACACTGGTTAGATACAGCATACAAACATTGTAAATCATACGCACTGTTGCACGCCTTCTCGGTAGGTAGCTGGTGTAGTGTGAGCTTATTTGGTTATTGTAAATGAGTTAGGACGACAATTTTGTGGTTGTTTTCAAGTTGCTGACGTGCCTGCGCATATAAAGCTGTATACTTAAATATCGATTTTTAGAAAGTTGGGCGCCGAAAATTGCAGTTTAAGTTATCATTATTAAAGCAGAACTTGCTACGATAATGAAAACAAAATATATTTGTCTTATCTAAAATACATTTTTTTAAATTTTAAGATATTGAAAATAAAACATTTATTAAAAATATTAAAAAAATATCACAACGGGCCAAACATGGTCCGTCTGATGTAATTTAAAAAAAAGTTTGACAACTTTCTTATATGTATTGTTTTCTGTAATGTGTATAGACTTAACTTGCATATTATACAAAACAAATTCTGTTTCAACTTGTACTTTTTCCATAAATTTAAACATTATAATTTTGCTTTAACTTTTATTTCAGCGCATTTCTGATTGTAAACTTTTGGCCCAACAGAAAATATTACAAAAAGTTGACAAAAAGTTCATGTTTGAAAACAACTTGTAAATAAGGTAAGAAGTATGAGGTTTGGGTAGCACTCACATTCGCATTCGTATTCGCATTGAGAATGACTTTATCAATTTGTTAGTCGTTGTGTTTTGGGCATGTAATTTGTGCGCGGGGCAAAAAGATAATTGAATTCAGCGTTTGTTTGTGCGCCTAATTTAAGTGCGTAGAGACAAAATTCCATTTTGCAAAATACATTTAACTTGGGCTTTAATTAAAAATCAAATAGAGATAAGAACGCTGAACGCGACAAAGATGAAAGTCTGCCGAGCATTGCAGCAACAACAACGACAACAACAACAACAGCAAAAGCAACAAATACATGTAATTGTGGCAGCGACTTAGCGACGCGTCTCGCAATGGCTTCGCAATTTCCGCGCTTGGCCGAAGCCTTTGCGCCATAAATTCAGGCGCCACGACCCAGACAGCCTAGACAGGATACGCATTTAAAGAGGCAGAGAAATTGCGCCGGTCCTCGGACCTAGGGTCATTAATTTGTCTTTAGAGGCCGCTGAAGCCAACGTGGCATTAAACTGCTTAAGTAGCACAACTAAATTAAGAAAAGTATAGAGCGATTGGGACGGCAATTAGAGGGCGAGGGGTTAAAAGATCTGCTGCAACGGGTACTGAGATAAAGTTCAAAGTGGAATTGTGTTTATCCTTGATTACGTATACAGTTACATTACAGTTGCGAATGCCGGAGATTTGTGGGGAAAGAACTGAAAATAGTAGTGTTGGAGAATGTTCGTTTTTTGACAAAAACTTGCGGCATGCAACACAATAATGAATGCGTTGCATGACCATAATTCATTTTTGTTTTGCCACACAGACAAACCCAGGCAGTCATGAATTGTGTTGCTACAATGTTGCTACAATGTGCCACGCCCCCGTTCTCAGTTTGGTACACTGGAAATGCTGCAACCACAATGAAAATGCAAAAGCTATAAGCGTAGGAAAACATGTGGAGCATACGAAAAAGGCAACTTTGCCAGCGGCATAACACAAACAAAAATACAAGCGAGCACTAAGCGTATTTATCATGGGAAAAACATACACACACTCACAGATATACTTGTGCATAGATATTAATGTTTACTGATAAAAGCGGAGCATGATAGACTAAAGATGACGCACACGCTGCGTATGCATTATATTCTTTCCATTCTCTCTGTTAGAAGAAAGAATTGAATTTCTTTATATCGATTGATAGGCATTCCACATATATATTTACAAATATATCTATATAGATATATATTTGCGGAAAATTTAATCAGTTTTCTTGCAAAGGGAAGTTTCACTTGTGGGGGGAAATCTATGAATGTGGACAAAGTGCGGTGAATGGAAAAATGGATTTGCAGTTGGCAACGTAATGAAAATGAAAATGGAAATGAAAATGTTTCATCCGAAAAGACTTTGTTATGGGAGTCTTTGTGGCAGTAGACGTTTAGAGCATGGGAGCTTGTAAACACAAAAGAACTTAGATCAGATCAAAAGATAAATTTCGGCTATAAATTTAAGATTTATTTTTTAATACTGTATACTATTATATATTTTCTTCATTCTCTGTATCCAAAAAGATTACCACAAGAAACACAAAATGAACATATAATGTTGTGCTTCGTTTGTTGGGCATATAAAGATGTTTTTTATTCCATGCGAAGTCCACAAAAGTAAATGCATAATTTTGATATTGAAACTCTGCTCCGAACAACATTTAAATGCTCTTAGATAGCAAAATGCAAGCATAGCTGAAAAATTATAGTTGTCCGAGTCAAGAAAAGCTTGATAACAGAACTAGCAGCAACAGCAGTAAATGGGGGGAACAAAGCTCTTTCCGCTCTGAAGTGTGTCATTTTTCATGCAGATTTATGTAAAAATTTGTGAAAAATGCGTAAAGAAAACTGCAAGAGGAAAACAGTAAGAGGGAAAATGAAGAGAACTTTCGCATCGAGCATTGAATTTGATGGCAAATAATGCGACTTTATAACTAGTTTAAATGCACTTTGCATGTCATAGACGCTTGATAAAATTACTTAAGCATTCTGTATTCAGCATTCTGCATTTTATGGAGTTTAATACTTGACTTCAGCAGCAGGGTTGACTCTGCGGCTACTCCATTCCCTTCTGAGTCGCCGCTGTTGCTCTTACATTTTTATTGTGCTGCCTGCCAACAATGGCTTATAATTATTTCTCATTTTTTTGCGTTTCTTATTTCTCGGCGGTTTTTTTTTTTTGTTTAAACTCGTCAGTCGTTTACTGGCTGCATTTTTATTTATATATATACGAGTATATTAAAAGGCAGAGCTCTGCCCTTTGTGGCATCTGCAGCTCGCAGATTGCAGCATTCCGCCCGCTGCCATCTTTTCATTTTTAAGTAGTCAACGGCCAAACAATGGCGCACCATAACAGCAGCCAAAGCATTAAAATCATCAGCAACAACAACAAAAAGCCTTTCGCTCATCAGGAAAAGGAAAAGCGTATCTGATAGCCAGGGGCGTGGCTCAATTTTTAACCCATGAAATTAAACTGCAGCATAATGGTGGGAATTGCAGCGCAACTGTTTTAAGCGCTATAAGCATAAATATTTTTGTAATTAAAAGCTGCAAATACGAGTAGCGAAATATATACCTGATACTCAGTTTTATTTTGTATTTGCCATCAATAATTGTTTATATTGAAGCAGCTCATCTGTTTTCTAAAGCTAATCCCTTAGAATGATACGATTTTTAAAATACTTTTTAACACGCTTGTACCAATGTAAGTGTTGCCTAGGCCTCAATTTGATTACCATTACCCTTTCCAATATTTCGCTATTTGTATGCGGGTTTCATTATAATAATATTATTAATATAATGATAGTATAACGTAATTAATAGTTTAACTTATATTGTGTTTCTTTATTGGCCTCAGAAGCCACATACCAACCCACATATACATATATATAAATATAAAAAAATTCAAATTATTTTTATTTCATTTTATTCGTACATCTTTTAATCATAATAAAATCTCTGTTAATGTTATAATTCAAATCAAATCTTTATGGCAGTGCTTTCTGTTTATGTACGATTATATGAATATTTCAAGAAGTATTTATTTTTCCTGGTAACTATTATACTTTTATTTATACCTATGTGTATTTATCATAATATCTGGACTGAGCTCAGCTTTCTGTTCAATGTTCAAAGTGATGTTCAAAATTCCATTTAACTTCAATACTAACTTACATAAATAAGTACATGAAATATTTGAACCGTTTCCAGCTTAATATCGAAGTCAATTAATTTTGAGTGCACTAAGAATTTCATCAATTTTGGGGCTCAACCAACTGCATTGCGTCGATTTCTTCGGTGAGTGAATTTAATTG